AAATGGTTTGATACCAGTTCAAGATTCTGTTTAGCGATGATACTTACACTGGATGTTTCACATTACTTTTTATCTTCTTTTCTCTTTCTTTATCTTTGTATGCCTGCCTCGCTTTCCGCCTCCTTTTGGTAGTGCCTCTTTCTCTCTCTCTTTCCCTCCCTCTCTCTCTCTCTGCTACTGTGTCTCACTTTGTCTATTTCTCTTTGACTCTTTAACTCCTCTTGTCCCCCCCCACCCTCCCCCCAACAACCCTGCCCCCTGTTACGACCCACACATTATCCTTATCGTCTCTGCTTCCTCTTGCCTGCCTATTAATTTCCCTTTTCTCCACATCTCCATTTTTCCTACCTTTGTGAATTTAATTGATTGCCAAACTGGTCTCTATTTATTCAGGAAGTAGTACAGCTGAATGGTGCCATATGTTTGAATATAACCTTTGACCAATTCATATGTCTGTATCCCTAATGTATGTCTAAACACTTAATGCTGTGTTTCTTTTGAATTTAAATTCGGATTCCCCCTTTATACATGACCTGAGTAAACAAGCAAAAAGTTCAGTTTTGTTTTAAAATGAGGTTGGTGTTTTTTTACTGTCTGGAACCCTTTCACCCTGGGAACCCTTAGGGAAAAAAGGGCAGAGAACCCATATGCTATTTATGTTAAATATAAAAATATTCGGCACTTTTAAACACAGCACATGAATAAAGAGTACCAAAGCTGATACAAAGGTATAGCAGGGGCTGGTCAAAGCTGAAAAGTCAAAGTATCGATTTCTCAGGGAATTGTAATGGATGGCAGTGGTGAAGTACTGGCCTCTTGGGGCAGAAGGGTTGGTGAAAGGGACACACTTCTAGTACCCCTTTAATTCTAATTACACTTCTAATTACAGTGTAATCGCAACTTTACATTTAAAATTTAACGTCACTTGACTGATGTTAACTTCCCTAGAGTAACAAACTATTTGATGAGCCCTGATTGCACATGCTTGCAGCGAGCAACTTAATAACCATTGCAGCTAACTGTAATTCATGGTTGGGCTTTGATTAGCAAATGGCTGACGATTTGCTCCGAAAAGCCAGGTGCAACCTTTTACTAACCTCATGGTCTCTAGTTATGACTGTTTAGTGCGCTTCATGTTCATTGTATGTAGATTTCATTTATTGATTGTCATCCCTGCTCCGGCGCTGCCCACCCACCGTGTCTCTAGACTGACTGCTTCCATGTTTGTGCTTGCCCCCTGTGATGTGTGTATGACGTTTGCCATTCGTGGGAAAGGCTGTAAAATGTGCAAGTAAGTGGTAGTAGTACTAGTAGTCTGTTAGACAGTTGAATTAATTTCAGGAAAATATCCTGATAATGAATTGCTGGCAACTTATGTCAGTGTTGATTATAATTAAATAAGCACTGAGAGTCAAGATGTTATTTAAAATGCCTGAAATCAGAGGATTGGGAATAAGTATTTTTTTTTGTTTCCAAAAGAAGGAAACTTTGAGAGAAGAGGCATTATTGTTTTATATAGTCCATAAGGAACCAGTGATTTTAAAGAGTAGTTATATCAGTACACGTTTTTGAACTTCTTTGATAGAAGAGGCTGAATATTTTGGTTCAGTTTTGAATCTTCATTGCTATCAAAGATGAAATATTTTATTCTTCATTGATTGCAGAAACTTGTCATTTCTTTAGTATAATCTCAAAACTTCACTTATGACAAAGACTGGTTTAGAACAAAGTGCAAATTTCTGTGATAGCAAAGACCAGGTGCCCAGAGTGATGACCCATCAAGTGCCAGCTGGCCAATGAAAATGTATCTTGCAACATTGAAGCTAAAATGGGGAATATCATTGCAGCTCAAATACCCCCTCCCCCCCCCCCCCCCCCCCCCCCCCCCCACCTTTACCCTGTCCTACCCTATTCTGAAATAGTAAAGGAAAGACCCCTTTTCGTTTTATAGACCGGAATTTACTCAGATGATATGCAGTCAACATCACGCCCCTGCCTTTACTTCCCAGGACTTTACCTGGTACCCATTTTGGGTTGGCTTGACCTTGGCAGCCTAGGTAATTGCTAAAAAAAAAATATGGCCTGCTAATTGCAGTGCTAATTCGAACCCATGACTCTTGGTTCTGCAGCCGAGCGTCTAACCGCTACGTAATGGTGGCTCCTGACAGTGGCAAATACAGGCAGTAAATAAAACAAAGGGTAATACTGCAATGGAATCTTTCAGACATGATAGGATCCAATATCTACAATAGTTTAGATGCATTAATTGTCACTATGTTAAAAATTCTTCAGTCAGTAATGTCCCTAGACCACTGGTGTCTGTAATGTTAAGTACTTCAAGTTGATGTGAGATGTTAGTATAAACTGCATCGTTACACATGTGGGGAAAAAGGAGGGGGGTGCATGTGTCTGTGTGTGAAAGAGAGAAAAAAGAGGCTAAATTATAAGTTGATGAGAGATACTTATTACAGCATGTGGAACATACACAATATATTTGCATTTTTTTTAAATTGCACAAATTGATGTGAGATACTAATTTAACAGTGTCATAGGACATGGGGGGCAGTACACTGTATACTTATAAATATGTTATTGTACAATTTAGCGTATGATACAGATTCAACAGTATATAAGCACATGGAGGAAAATATACTGTAAATCTTTGTTGATGTTAACATACAAGTTGACATGAGATGCTAATTTAACAGTATCATAGGACATGGTGGCAAAATACCACAGTATCTGTAATGCTGTTAACATATATGATATGAGATACTAATCTAGCAGTATCGTAGGCCATGGGGCAAAACACTAAGTGTATCTATAATCCTGTTAATTTATAAGTTGATAAGATTCTAATCTAGCGATTAGGGAAAAATACACTGTATATATGTATATAAATCTGTTAATTTATAAGTGGATGAGATACTAATCTAGTGATTTGGGAAAAATACACTACAATAAAAATACTAGTCCAGCCATATTATAGGTTATGGGTCAAAATACACTACATCTATAAACGTGTTAATTTAAAAGCTGATAAGATTCTAATTTAACAGTGTCATAGGATTTGGGGCAAAATACTTTGTATATCTTTAAACGTGTTAATTTATAAGCTGATAAGATTCTGATCTAACAGTATCATAGGATATGGGACAAAATACACTGTATATCTATCTATAAATGTGTTAATTTATAAGCTGGTAAGATTCTAATCTAGCAGTATCATAGGATATGGGACAAAATACACTGTATATCTATCTATAAATGTGTTAATTTATAAGCTGGTAAGATTCTAATCTAACAGCATCATAGGATATGGGACAAAGCTTTTATTGTTTTTATGCTGCTGTACAGCTTTGTTAAAAATCTCTAATTGTTGAGTTTTCTGATTGCAATTCTTTGCCAAAAGTGTATTAAAAATATAGATAATTTTTAGATGTTAATTTAACATCATTGAGATTTATTGTTGAATTAAAAATTTTTTAACATTTCTATTTGTTAACTGTTAATTTTAGTGTCATATTATAAATATTTATAATAACCTGTGAAGTTTTTATTTTACAGCTTTTAATGTGCTTTTAAATGTTGATGTAACTGCTTAGATTTTGTTAAAAATTGTAGCTTTATTCATAATATTTATATTTTAGCATTTATAGAAGATGTTAGTTTAGAAGTTACCATTTATAACATTCTGTTAAAATGTTAACTATAACAATAGTAAAGAATTATTACATTTGAATACTCTTACGACATGCTTGTTAGGGGGGCAATAGGTCTGTTTTCGTTTTCTCATATTAGGGTCACGGAACCTACAATGAGAGAATAAGAGGAATTAAACCCAATAGTTATTGAAATCACCATGAAAAGCATTCGTCACAGACAAGGACATAAGTTCACCATCAGAAAGCAGGATGTTCTTCAAACTATTATGGCAAGTATTTAATTCCTTGCCAGAAGAGTTTCATTTTAGTTTACATATCCTGGGTCCACTCACCGTCATACTGGTCAACCCTTGCTGCAGTTCAATATGAGCTTCAACCCATTTTACCTGCCAGAAGTATTTTAGTTTAGATCATTTATGAGCCAACCCATTCCACCTGGATTTTTTAGATCATGAAAACTTTCAGTATTTTTTCGGTTCTTGATGCATCACACTTTTAAAATCTCCCTATAGCATTTTTATTTACAAAGATGTACTGTTCATGAGCAGTCCACCCCGGTATTCAGATCATTTTTGGTTCTTGATACAAAACACTTTAAAAATCTCCCCATAGTATTTTGATTTACACAGATTTACTGTTTATGAGCCAGTCTACCTCAGTATTTAAATCCTGAAAAATGTCATCAGTTTTTTTATTTCTTTGTCTATGACACTTTAAAACTTTTCCTGTAACATTTGAGTTTGCAAAAAAGATTACTGTTTATGAGTCACTTCATTTGGATCTTCAGATAATGAAAAATTTAAGTACTCGTTTCTTCTTGGTCTGTGACACTAAAAATCTTCCTGTACCATTTGGGTTTAAAAACCCCCATAAGGTTAACATAGGTTTCTTGTCTTTTCTTCATCTTTGTTTACCGGCTGTAAGCTGTGGCAGACAGACCTGGTTGTTCTTTCATTTGGACTTTAACTTTGTACAAAGGCCCAAGTTTTGCACGTCCATCCATATTACTTGCTGACTTTGAAGGAAACCCCCAATTAGTCAACACTTATGACATGCTTGTTCGGGAGGCAGTGGGTCTATTTTTGTTTCTCCCACAATGGGACCTCAGAACCCACATGGGCATATTCTCATTTAACTTATACCGCAGAAATGAACTGTTTTTACTGTAGATTTTATGTTGCACATACAAGATACTAAAGAAAACATTGACACTGAGTGATTAATTAATTTTTAGCTTTATTTACTTTGTTAGCTTTTGATATTTAGTATGATGTCTTGTATACCCAAAAAGACCATTCGGTAGGTAACCTATTGCTTGTTGTCTGTCTCTACCAGAAAAAAATTCCACAAGGATTGCGCTCAGAGGGCACCTCCTACCTGCGGTCTTTCAGATGCTACAGTTGACGCCTTGATCGACTGGCAGAGTACTAGTCGTAAGTTCATCTTTTTTAACTCTGTTGTGACTGTTTTTTCCCCCCTCATATATTCATCATCATCATGTAGCAGGTCTTTTGCAGAATGTTATGCTCATCACAGTCTCTTTGAAAGAAACTGCCTCTCACCAGCTGTCCCGCCCTGTGCATTTTTCTATTCAGTGTGTCTCTTATATCCAGTGTCCATCTTTCATATGCATAAAAAATTTAGTGTAATGTGATTACTATCATGTCATCTGCCTGTACTTTCCATTAAATTTTTGGTACCTTTTTCTGCGTTCGTCCTTAAGGGGTATTTGGCATCTTGTGTTGTGGTTTACAGCTGGTCCAACATATCAGATTTCTGCAAATCCCTGATTGGTTGCCTTTTACGAGACACTTGTTAAGAGACAGTGGGTCTGTTCTTCCCCCAATATGGACTCTTGAGCTGAATGTTTAATTAAGAATCGACATCACAGCACTCAGGACACCCCCATAAGCGCTCTATCCCCATCTACAGCATCAATCAAAGAGTTAAAATTTTGATAGTACGAGTAACTGTCTGATTGTATATCCATCTCGCCTTTCCCCTGAGCGTCGAGCGCCAGCCAGATCCCCTTGTAACTCCTGGCAATGCCATTATCCTCAGATCGTAATGATCTATCTGTGCCTCTACAGTGTTCACTCGCTCCCAAAGGGCCCTCACAACATCCAGCTTCTTATACATCAGTTCACCGCCGTGGTGCAGAACTAGCCAGTCTATCTATATGCTCATTTCCCAACACATCAGCATACCCTGGAGAGAATATCCAAAGGATGCTAACTACCGGAGACGCCTGAACTGATGCTTGCCACTCTGCACTGAGCATGCCTGTCTCCAACTTTCTCAACATGCTTTGTGAGTTGGTTACAATCACGGCATGTGTGTACAGCTGTTTCTCAAGCCAGCAGAAGGCAGCAGTGAATGCCTCCACCTCCATTCTCATGAGCCTACACTTTCCAATCATATCTTTGTCCTTCTTCCTTTTTCCTTCTCGTGCAGGCAACTTCATGATAAATACCATATATTGGTTAGTCATTGGTGCACCATGTAAGTGTAGGCAGAAGAATGGCTGTTATCTGTTGTTTAGTCTTTGCTGCATCATGTAAGTGTAGACAGAAGAATGGTTATTATCTGTTGTTTAGTCTTTGGTGCACCATGTAAGTGTAGACAGGAGAATGGCTGTTATCTGTTGTTTAGTCTTTGCTGCATCATGTAAGTGTAAACAGGAGAATGGTTATTATCTGTTGTTTAGTCTTTGGTGCACCATGTAAGTGTAGACAGGAGAATGGCTGTTATCTGTTGTTTAGTCTTTGCTGCACCATGCAAGTGTAGACAGGAGAATGGCTGTAATCAGTTGTTTAGTCTTTGGTTCATCATGTAAGTGTAGACAGAAGAATGGCTGTAATCAGTTGTTTAGTTTTTTGGTGCATCATGTAAGTGTAGACAGGAGGATGGCTTTAATTCCTTTGAACAGTCATTAGTACACCATGTAACAGGAAGATGGCTGTAATCAGTTGTTTAATCTTTGGTGCCTCATGTAAGCGTAGACAGGAGAATTGCTGTAATGAATTGTGTAGTTTTTGGTGCATCATGTAAGTGTAGACAGGAGGATGGCTTTAAATACTTTGAACAGTCATTAGTACACCATGTAACAGGAAGATGGCTGTAATCTGTTGTTTAGTTTTTGGTGTCTCATGTAAGTGTAGACAAGAGAATTGCTGTAATCTGTTGTTTAGTTTTTGGTGCATCATGTAAGTGTAGACAGGAGGATGGCTTTAATTCATTTGAACAGTCATTAGTACACCATGTAACAGGAAGATGGCTGTAATCTGTTGTTTAGTTTTTGGTGTCTCATGTAAGTGTAGACAAGAGAATTGCTGTAATCAATTGTTTAGTTTTTGGTGCCTCATGCAAGTGTAGACAGGAGGATGGCTTTAATTACTTTGAACAGTCATTAGTACACCATGTAACAGGAAGATGGCTGTAATCTGTTGTTTAGTTTTTGGTGTCTCATGTAAGTGTAGACAAGAGAATTGCTGTAAACTGTTGTTTAGTTTTTGGTGCCTCATGCAAGTGTAGACAGGAGGATGGCTTTAATTACTTTGAACAGTCATTAGTACACCATGTAACAGGAAGATGGCTGTAATCTGTTGTTTAGTTTTTGGTGTCTCATGTAAGTGTAGACAGGAGGATGGCTTTAATTCATTTGAACAGTCATTAGTACACCATGTAGCCATAGACATCAGAAAGGCATTGACCCTTTTATGTGTAAATAAAAAAAAATGACTTTCAAAATTTTGTTAACACATTAGTAGTCTCTGAAATTTTACCCTAAGCAACTAGAGAAAGAAAAGAAATTTAAAGTCTTGGTTGTAACCAGTAACCACTGAACAGGCAGGCCTGCTATCTGTTGTGTAATCGCGGCACCAAGTCACTAAAAAGATGGATTTTTTCATCTTTAGAGTCTGTACTGTGTGCAAAGGTAATTATTTTCTGTGAAGGGAAGTAATTGCTAAATACAAATGAAAGATAGAAAAAATTGCTTTTCTTCTTCTTGACAGAAATAAGTGACACAGCCACAGAGAAAAAACTGACATTAGCATAAGTTGATTATGATGTCACAATGGTCTTGGTCTTATAATTACTACTGGTAATTTGGTCACATAATAATTATTGGTGATTTGCAGATGTTGTCTCAACATTGCCTGCTGACTTTGGTGGGACAGGCAAAAATTCCCCTGACTTGTAAGTAACATTATGTCCCTTATTTCCTCCGTCATTGTCATTGTTTTTTCTGTCCTCATTTGTCTTCCCTGTTCGGATGATACTGATGTTAATTACACACAGCCCTCCTAATACTCTAACAGTTTTGGAGAACCCGGTTGCTTGTTTTGTGAGCCGCGGTAGTCTTGCGGCTAGACGATTGCCTGCTAGTCTGAAAGCCTTGTTTTTGAATGTGCATGGTCTGAGATTTAAAAAAAAAGACCTTGGTCTTTGAGGTCAGCACAGTCTAAAATGGATACCGGGTCAAGTCCTCGGAGGTAAAGGTGGCTGACCAAATTACCCCATGGGGTACATATTAGTCTACAAAAATATGTCCAGCATCATGTGCCTGATGCGCCATTGGCACATAAAAGGGTCCATAACCTCTTTCAACACCAAGAACACACAGTTCTTTCAGTGGTTACCCTGTATAAGTATATATGTGTTGGCTTTTTTGCCACATTTCTCCTCCTCCTCCACGTTCACCGGCGGAAAGTTCTAGTTGTTTACCATTTTCTAGACTCTAGCCCATTTCCAGAACCTGAATGCTGCCTGCACATCCGTTTTACAGAACTGACTAATGTGTATGCAGACTGTTGTGTATGCATATGCACAGGAACTTCAAACCAGCTACCACTTTTTTAATTATTTTGTTTTTTAAAAAGTAATTTTAACTTTGGGTTCTTTTGCGAATCAGGCTGGGGAAGTTTAAAAAAAAATATAATTTGGATTCTCTTTTATTTGTAAGTTTTCCTAGCCAAATTTTACATTTAATTTAAAAAAAAGAAAATAAAGAAAGAAAGAAAGAAAGAAAGAAAGAAAGAAAGAAAGAAAGAAAGAAAGAAAGAAAGAAAGAAAGAAAGAAAAAGTAAGTATGTGAGTAAGTAAGTAAATAAGTAAGTATGTAAGTAAGTAAAGTAAAAGTAAAGTGAGTAAGTAAGGTGCCATCCATTGATATTTATTACTTAAGGATGTTCTAAATTAAATTTGTCATATGGTAATTACTCATTAATTTTTCAAAAGGTCCCTTTTCCACGCCTTTAGACATATTGGGAATATAGGGCTAGACCTATATTTTTATAGACCAATCAGCACTTAGTGGGTGAAGTGGTGAGCATCACGCCGGCCGCCTTTACTTTCCAGGACTGCACCTGGTACCCACTCAAGGCTGGGTTGACCTCAGAGTCAAGGTCATTTTTGGAGAAAAAAAGTCAGGCTTTGTGAGGACGTGAACCAACGCCACGGCACCTCCCAAATAATTAATTTACTCAGGTTAATCACATCAGCTAGAAAGAAAAGGGGCCGGTCACAGAGATAAATGGATACAGGTGATATCTGTAACAGTGAAGCCTCAAGGGCTTACAATGCTAAAAAAAGAGGAAGGAAAATGTAAATTACTCATTGATGTTTAACGGTTAAGGTTGCAACATTCGTTCATCTGTTGATCTATTTGCAGTGATGTTGTGAGTACCAACACTTCCAATGACAGTGAAAAAACCTTGATAGATGTGAGTACAACAAAATGGTTGAACATATTTCATAGTTTTCCTATAAGGCTGATGATTTGTATTTTGGATGTTTAAGCATATTTCATGTGTGCATCTGGTTTTGAGTTGAGCTGCTGACATCACAGGTCCGCTTAAAAAAATAGAAGTTGGATTGATCAGGCAAGAATGGATTGCAACTCTAAGCAATTCACAAATAGCTGCCCCAACCTTCATCTTTGTGCCAGGTCATGCGGGTGTTCAAGGGAACAAGCATGCAGACTATTTTGCTGACACTGCGGTTGTTATGGCTGGTCCAGTACTGGTCAGAAGTGATGTTATCAATGCCACGCGCTGCACTTACCGTACTGAGGAGAACACCAAAGGACATGACTCCGTATCCCTGTCTAGACTGATGGACATGGGGGTGCAGCCTGGAGCTGCAAGAAATGAATATTTCACTAAGGGGACAAGACGTTTCATTAATCAACACAGAACAGGCGTCATCAGTCGTTTTACACTTGTGGAGCTTTTGAGGAGGAGATCGGAGCACCTATGGATCTGTCCGGAGTGCTGTGATGATAATCGTTTCTTTTCACTATTCACAAGTCCGCCCCCTTCTTCGGCAACCAGCAGAGAGTTCCATCGCAGATGGCACCATTAGCAGTTGGATTTTTATGTTTGTCTTGCCTTTCCTGTAAGTGGAGAGTGTTGGCCACATTTCCAGGCCACTCCCTGCTGCATCATTCTACCCAGACAGTAATGATCAGTTTGCACATTCACACAGTTCACTTGCTTTCAAATCATTGTGACCACACGTAGCTTGCCTTGCATCAGTTCACCTAGTGGATCAGCACCAGCCAATCTGCCTGTTCATTTCCCAACACACCTGCATTCCCTAGAAAAAGTATGATCCAGAGGATGCTAGATCCAGATGAGGTTTAGTGATTCAGTCATGCAAGAGTGGCACAGACACATGCCTCTGTCTCTGTCGAGGAGTGACAGCTTATATGGTTCAGAGCTCTGGATGAAGAAAAACAATGAGAAAGTCTAATTGAGACCCTAGAGATGAGAATAGATAGAACAGGCCCTTTTTCTTGAGAAAAAAAACAATAAAACACCGAAGATCTGGAGAGACTGAAAATAAAAAGAGTTGCAGAAGTAAAAAAACAAAAGAAATTGAAAGTTTTGTTTTATAAATATTGTGACGTAATGATGCCACAGTTTTACCAAATTAAATTGTTTATCACCCCTAATTATATCTCAGAATATATTATTGGATCATATTATGCTTTAAGTTACAGCATGTGCTAAAGACTTCATGTCATCAAAAAACTCTTAAATGTAGAAAAGGCAGCTTTTTAGGGGTGGCAGGGTTGTGGATGCTCTTAGGAAATTCCTAGGCTCTTGGCTTTTTCTCCAAATTTTCCTGGGTAAAAGGGCTAAATTAAAAGTATTAGCAAAGAGCTCCACAATTTGTCAGGAATCTACATTCTGGTAAAATGGGTTAAGAAATGAATTGCTGAAATAAGTAAGTGAAAGATCTTTGTCCTACCTTGGTGCAGATCCGGCATAAGAGAGATAGCCACATATTTTTAAAAGTCCAGTTGACACTCAATGAGCTGATCACCGTCTTGCCAGCTGCTTTTGCTTCCCAGGATATTTTCTCGTACCCATTTTAGACTGAATGAACCAGGAAGCCCAGATAAGTTTTTTTAAATCTGCTTTGATTCAAACCCTTAGTCCCTGGGATGACAGTTAGTTAGTTAGTTAGTTAGTTAGTTAATCGACAGATTATTCTCATTGCACATCGGACAAGTCCGTAAGTGCTCGGATCCCATCTTCAGTGTATCCCTCAGCGTGTGGTGTCTGATAACACCAGTTCTGTGTTGGTTTACTATTCTTCTTTAGCTACCTCTGTAGTGTTCATTTTTGGTGACACCACTTTTGACCGAATTTCTTGTAGTTTTTTTAAGTGTTGCCGATTTCACTTTTCCCCTGAATCATCTTCTCGTCCTGCCTCATTATGAACATTGGCCCGGTTCATTGTTTTTGAAATGACAGGCAAGAGTGTTAGCCACTGGACTTCTGCGATTGCTGCTGAAACTAACTTACAGGAAGTTGCAAATCCCCCCCCCCCCCCCCCCCCCCGCACTTATTAGCTGCTTTTTTGCAGTTTTTACCAAGATCCCTGGGAATCATCACCAGATCTTTTGGGTTCATGCTTTGTGCAACTCTCAAGGCAGGCAGCTAGCAGTTTAACGCTCTTTAGTTTGCCATATTGATGTAAAAAGGGCCTGCTACCCAATTGTGTGCAACATAATTTGCACCTCAGGATATCTTCTTCTTTGCATTCTGTTTCGTATGCTAGGGACAGACCATCAGGTGGGTTGCCTCTATGAACTTGCATGTCAGCTGCAGGTCAATCAGTTCCCCATAGCTTGCTCTGCAGAATTTGCTCCTGAAGCCAGGTTTCATTTCCAGGTTGAAAGTAGAGTGGGCAGGTCTGCCGAATGTGCTCAGATGTTTGTGGTCCTGTCTGACAGGCACACAGTGGGGACTGTACAGTATTTTATGCATATGGTCGTTGAGCCTGCAGTGTCCTGTTCCACCTCAGGATAAAAGGATTGTGAAACTGCTATCACAATCCCTGCAACTGATAATGAAAGTAAATAAGATAATTATTCACCCTTTTTATGCCAGTGGCGTAGGTCACGTGATACTAGGCACATTTTTTTGGGGACTGACCTATCATCACTCATATACTACCCAAGTGCATTTAACAGAATTTAAACCTCACTATTACAGGATTGTGAAACTGTTTCACAACATCTGAAACTAATAAATAAAGTAAATAAGATAATTCACCCAGTCGCTTGCAACTTATTTTGAACCTCAGTATTATGGGATTGTGAAACTGCTTTCACAATTCCTGAAACTAATAAGATATTCACTCTCTTTTAGGCCAGTGGCGTGTTGGATATGTGGTGCTAGACATATATATATTTTTTCATAGATGCAGCGCCACCTAGTGAGAGATGCGAGCATCACACCAGATGCATTTACCTCTCAGGACATTACTGTTTACCCACTTTTAGGATGGGTCGACCTGGGAACCAAGGTCATTTGAAAATGGCTGATTTAAGAGTTTTAAATGTTGTGTACACTTGGCTGTGAAGTCGACTGTGCCCTGTTCTGAGGCATAGAATAATGACTTGTTCTGGTCTGTCCAATAAAAGGAGTCTGTACTGCATACTGTTGCATACCGTCGGGGGGAAAAAGCCCTTACGGTCAGTGCTGTCAATGGAACCCAGCTAAGCTGAACAAAAACCCAAGCAATACATAAGCGAAGAACAAAAAACAAAGTAAAACCATCATTGGCAGCCCTGCTTACGGTTACACTACCGCGGTTCCTGAAACTAATGCTGATGTATACCTTGTAATCTTTTCAGAGTAACAATTCGGAGCGCACTCTGCCGGACAGAGTGGACTCTGTGGACAGTCAGGACGATCCCTTCAGCTGGAACAGACAGAACAGTGTAAGTTCTGTGTGAGATGTATATTTTGCATGCCTTGTTAAGTTAAGAAAAGAAGAAATTTAGAAAAAAGAAAACTCATTAATGCGCTGTTCTTACTGACTTTGTACTGTCAATGACAGACATGGACAGCCCTAGAAAAATATAAACACATAATTATAGCTGTGAGATGAGATGTATAAGAAAGGCGGTAGACAAAACAAGATCAGACCGCCAGCAATGAAGAACTAAGATAAGTAGTATGAACTGCTCCAGTACATAATTTCATAGAACATCAAAGAATCAAATTATTTGGTTATTTGGTCACAATGGAATAGCTGTGAGATAAGATGTATAAGAAATGCGGTAGGCAAAACAAGAACAGACTGCCAGCAATGAAGAACTAAGATAAGTAGTATGAACTGCTCCAGTACATAATTTCATAGAACATCAAAGATTCAAATTATTTGGTCACAATGGAATAGAATCAGCCAGCATTTAGCGTGCAGTACATGAGAACAACAGCACAAGCGACCCAACTAGCAAAAGACAGAAAAGTACATCTAACTCCTCTCTGTGACGCTTTATGGCATCAGCAGTTAGGACTTAAGACATAAGAAGAAAGAGGTGGTTAAAGGAGCTTAGTAGAGGTAAAGAAGAGACAGGTCACAGACTTGCAAACATCAAATCCATTTGCATCTAATCAGTGGAGGAGGAAGGAACGGCTCTTTATTTATATCCTACCCCAGATGACATCGCAGGACAAGCCAACATTTTAGAGGGTATTAAGACTGGGTTTCCCGGCTTTCTGATGCTTTTAATGACCTCAAAACATCTAGAATTAGCTCTGGCCTATCTACCACCCCCTTAAAAATTAAACTGTCCAGTGACCTGTGGATTGCCCTTGTTTGGGGTAGGATATTAAAAATAAAGCACCGGAAGGAACTGTTCAGACACTAAAACAGCTGTTGGTAACTCAGTGACACATGGTGTTATGGGCCAGTATTGATTATGATGATGCCTTGTAAAACTTGTTTTCAAACTGTTAATTCATTATTTCCTGACAAAAATGACCTTGGCTCGCAGATCCACCCAGCCTTGAATGGGTTCCAGGCACAGTCCTGGGAAGCAAATGCAATCAGCATGATATTGACTACATCACCCAATAAGGGCAGACTAGTCTATAAAATATCTGTCTAGCCCTACATGTCCAGTATGCCTGAAGGCCTAGAAAAGGGTCCTTTACTTACTTTTACTTAGCTTATTATTATGATTGGCCTTCAAATAAAAACCTTTAAAATACCTTAGAAATTACAATAACCGTGCCATTGTCTTGTCTTTTTCTTCTGCCTTTCTATCCCCCAGTGGAGCATAGGCCCTCAACCAACTCAGGACAAGTCGTTCAATCCTTCGCTTTTCCATGTCCTCCCTATCTTTCTAACTTCATTCTCCAGCTCTCATCTCTATGTGTTGTTTTGGCCTTCCTTTATTCCTATGCCGCTGTGGGTTCCAATGCAAAGACATTCTAGTTATGCTGTTCTCTGGTTTTCTCAATGTGTGTCCAATCCAACGCCAGCGTCTTTTTCTCACCTCTTGGTCAACTGGAGCTTGCTGAGGTCTCGCCCAAAGCTCTACATTAGTTATTCTATTATACAATTTAATTTCCTCTATTCTGCGCAGGCACCAGTTAATGAATGTCTGTAATTTATTAGTAATTGCCTTGGTTGTTCTCCATGTTTCCGCCCCATACAAAAGTACTGATTTGACATTAGAATTAAAAATCCTAAGATTAGTATTTCTTTTAATTTCTTAAGAAGTAATTGTCTTGTAGCCTGTCATTATTTTTTGTTAATGATGTTAAGAGTATTAAAGCAAGAGTGTAACACATCGGTTACGGTTATTGTAATATCTGTCACGGTTTTCAGGTTTTCAAGTCCCCTCATATTGTAGGGGTCTCCATGGTTAGCTGTTTAGCGTGTGCTCCGGAAGTCATGGGTTCATAGCACAGACTGCAGTGTTCAGTTGTTCACCAGTGCAGTTATTATAGAGATCTCTGGGAATCTTTGCTGGAACTATAGAGTTTGTGCTTTATATAGCACTCTCATTAGGCAGCTTGCCAATCTGCAAAGAGAGAGAGACTGAGCCATGTGCGATAAAACTGAGTGCAAGGAAGTCAGTCGTCTTGACTGGATACCTCTGACTCATTATATCCTAAGCTTCTCACTGAACAGAGAAAAGTTATTCCATCTATAAAGTTAGATTCATCCCCCTCCTCCCCCCCCCCCCCCTGGATTCCAGGGCCCTGTTTTATAAGGAAAAAGAATACAACCACTGTGGCGCCCCCCCCCCCCCCCTCCCCCGTACCCCCCACCATGTTTTAAAAGGCGACTGATTATGGTGTTTCCTTCAAAGTAGGAGGGCATCTGCCTTAGAAGCAAGGAACCAGCAGTCTACATACAGATAAACCAGATCTGTAAAACAGATGTGCAGTCAAAGCTCCAGTTCTGGAACAAGACCAAAGTCCGAAAGTTAACAAAAACTTTAATAAACAAACATGACAGCCTATATATATTGCTGCTCAGCACAGAAGGGATAAGACAAGACTTTCCCATCAAGCCATCATTTAGACACTGGAAGGGAAAAGAAAACGGGGGAAGACCAAGAGAGACTCTAAATAGAATCATCATCAGGGAAGGCTCAACCATGGGCCTAACAAACATCCAAGACCTAAAGCAGGTGGCAAGGAACTGCCAGACCTGGAGAGCTATGACCTCTGCCCTATGCGCCGTGCTAGACTCAAGAGGAAAGACTAACAGCATGTGATAAGGATGATGGCATTCAAACCGTTATCCAAATCACCAAAAAAGCGGTCTGATGGAAAATTGCCTACAGATGACTTTAAATCTTAGTATGTCAGGATATCAAACAATTTCTGTTAAAATTTTAAGTTTTAAAAGATAGTTTTTTTTAAAAATATAAGCATATGCACTAACTCCAGCATGATATTGACCACATTACCCACCATATGCCGATTAGTCTATAAAATACATGTCTAGCCCTGTATTTTCAATGCTCCTGAAGATGTGGCTAAAAGTCTTTAACTCTTTTACTATGCTCTTACTTCTGTCTTATTATTGGTTTGTTTTGTGTTGCTTTTTCAGTTAGCGTCAACTATGAAAGAATGGGATATTCCCTTTGAAGATCTTTACATCACTGAGGCTATTGGGAAAGGGAGGATTGGGACTGTATATAAGTGAGTTACACTTAGCGTCACTCGTTAATTGGTATTCTATAGGATTATCAGGTTCTGACTTAATTAGGATTAATTGTTATTCTGCAAGGCTTCATTATTAGTCAGCTGATGCAGTAACTTTGTTATTCTAGAAGACTCTCAGTGTTAATCAGCTCACATAATGGTGATTGAGATTTGATAATGCTGCCACTTTTCAGCCAGCTGACATAAAGTTATGTCATTTGATATGGCTGCCAGTGTTAATCTGCTGATGTAATATGTTGATTGTTATGTTATGCAGCTGTTCATAGTAAGGTGAATTGTCCTTTTGCAAGGCTGTCAGTGTTAACATTTAAATAAATTCAATCAACCTTTTCACCCTGTAGGGAAAACAAAATGGAAAAAAAAAAACAATAGGAATTCTTGAAAAAGAACAGGCCATTGCAGAAATGTATATCCATCAGCATTTGTGGGATATGTTTCACAACAAGATGAAGCTTCTTGGTTTAACAAAAACTATAACTAGTAATTTCAGCAAGGGGGAAAAGAAACAAAACTTACACAGATATAACATTATGATAAAGTTTTTGTCATTGAATAAAACAAGAAGAAGAGGTTTGAGGTTTGAACAACAGATCAACATCATGGCACACGGATAGTAACCCATAAGGGCCCCGTTCTTCTTCTAACTCAAGTCTGAGTCTGAAGAAGCTCAGCACAGTGCTCAGGCTCTGTAGTACCGGTGAGGATTCTGAAATACTTTGGGTAGATTTTTAACTCCACATTCTGCCCGGGCAGCGCCGTTAGGCTACTCTTTTCAATTTCCGACTGCCAAGGGATTTTTGTTTACATGCGCAACAATGCACACTACCCAGAGACTAGGGGGAATTACTAGAAGTCCAAGTCCATGTGAAAAAATCCCAGCCCTTACCGGGGATTGAACCCAGAACCTCTAGCACTCGAGGCAGACACCATGCCTCGAGATCACGCAGCCCCCTAACAAGAAGAAGAAGAATGTTACAGAGCAACTATAGTTCTTGAGCGTCTTCCTTCTAAAGGAGTTCAGTTTCTGAACACATTATTTTCAGTGAAAAATGTCTTGATTTCCAAACCGAATCTCGGTTCAACTTTTTCTTAGGGCAGATTCCAGCTTGATTGGACAATGTCTGTTCATGATTTTCTTTGACAGTACTCCTGCTCACCGGCCAGACGTGGTGGACGTACTTAGCTAATGGGGGATTTTGAAACTTCTGCCTCCTAACACAAGTCCTCTGCGCCAGTGAGACTTTGCAAACTTTAAGAAACTCTACACCAGGGCTATTCAGCTATGTTGACTCAGGGACCAAAATGTTGAAAAGGGGGATCGTCACAAGCCTGACAGCATAGAAAGATCATTAACACAGTGAACCTGGCTTGATTCGCTGGCCACTCTAGGCCTCTATGGCTGTATTCAGCCCTTGGATCACCAGTTGAAAAGCCCTGTGCTACATCAGAGCACTCTTGCCAAGGAGTTTTGAAGCAACTTCTGACACACATTTAATGTTAGTAAAAGGCATGGTACCAGGAAGGAGGGGTAGGGGCCAACCAACACGAAGATGGGCACAGGATATAAGTGACTCCTTGAGTATAAAAGTACATGAGGCGGGAGAACTGGCGAGAGACCGAGATTCTTTCAGGCAGACCGTGATGATAGTGACGTTCTCCAAAGGACCTGCTACATGATGATGATGGATAAAAGCATGGACTTGGGAGTTGACAGAGCTGATATGGAGTAGTTAATGAAAGACCACAGGAAGGAACTTACCACGGAAGAACTGGAAAACCCCCCAGAAGTGAAGAATAATTTTCCTCATCAACTTTTATTTATGTCATTAGCTCTCTGTCTTATAGGTAGAGAGACTACATTTTTGTCTATAATTTATGTATTCATTGTTGCTAATTATTTTTATTTCTTGTTTGTTTGCTTGTACAAAGATTGTACACATTTTCATTGTTGTTCTGTTCAGTTGTGCAAATGAAATATTGTTATCAGTGTTAAAATATATAAGCAGTTGTCTGTAGTTAAGAAGCAATCCATTTTACATTAATTCTTATGGAGAAAATGGTTTCAGTCTTCAAATAACTGTTTCTGAACAGCATTCAGAATGAATTAAGTTAGAGAGTTGAGATTCCACTGTAATCCACAGTAAGTTTGATTAATAATCTTTTTGATTGTTAGTGTTAATCAGCTGACTTAATTAGATAGTTTTTCTGTAAGGCTGCCGATGTTGCAAGAGACATAATAATGTTGATTATTATTCTCCCCAGAGGATTGTGGCATGGTGATGTGGCCATTAAATTATTGGATGCCGGGAATAGCACCAACAATGATTCTCAATTAGCGGCTTTTAAACTTGAGGTAAGTTGGTATTCAGTGTTTAATGTTGAATTAAAAATTGTTATCACAACACTCAGGACATTCCCATAAGTGCTCCGTCCCCATCTTCAGCGGCAAGTGAAGAGTTCCAATTCCAATGGCACCAGTAATTATATATCTGCTTCGCCTTTTCCTCAAACCGTAGTGATCTATCTGTGTATCTGCACTGTTCACTCGCTGCCAAAGGGCCCTCACAACATCAATTCTTTACCAAGTGGTGCAGAACTGGCCAGTCTGTCTACCTGCTCATTTCCCAACACACCGACATGACCTGGAAAAAATATCCAAAGGCTGCTAACTACCTAGGACCTTGTGATGCTTGCCTGTAGGTAAGTTGGTAGAGACAGATTATATTAATGCAGAACTGATTGGTCTGTGAACTCTCCAGATTGTGCACAATTATAATTAATTCCTATGTGGGTTCCGGGGCCTCATTGTGGAGAAAAGAATCAACTTATTGGCCCCTAATTAGGGATGTTGCTCAAAGCCAAATCTGTAAAACATATGTGCATAAAAAAGACAAATTCTGGAACAAGTCTAAGAAGACCTGAAAAAGGGTTGAAAACCACTAATCTAGCAGAATATCAAGGATATAAATTGAACTATGAAGCTGGGAAAATGTAAACAGTTCAAATACACAAAATATAGGTTAGCTTTACAAATATTACCATCAACAAAGGATATTGCAGTGATAAGCTTTTATTTGCAAACAGCAGAAAAAAATAAAATACCATAAAACAACACACAGAAGGACTTGACGCTGAAAAAAAAAAACTTCATTAAAATAAACAACGGCCATATTGGATTTTTTGCCAATGAAATAAAACAATAATCATTGCGCATACAGGCTCAGTTTTTTTTTTTTTTTTTGTATATAGGTTCATTTATAGACAGACCCTTTTACAGATTTAAACAAAGAAGACAAACGATAGATTGCACAATTGATTGCCTGGCATGATTGATACACTCCTCTGTCTATATGAATGTCCTCCCCATATGGTTTGATCTTGGTAAGCTCGGCAAGTGTTTTGTCTTCACCATCAGAAAGAAGTGATGTATAGCGAAGCTTATGATGGGCCACAGACCGCCGCCATATCACTTGTCTTCTTCTTCTTTTTCGCATTCACCAGCTGTACACTGAGGCGGAAAGTTCTGGTTGTTCATCCACTTCTGGACTGCAGTCCTGCTCAAGAACCTGAGTGTTGCATGTGCATCATTTTTAAATATCTAATTCACTTAAATGCAGACGGTTGGTTCCTTGCCTCTCAAGCAGAGGCACTCCGACTTCAAAGTAAGCTCCCCAATTAGTCGACTCTTACGACATGCTTTTGGGAAAGCAGTGGGTCTATTTTTTTTCCCCCTACAATGGGGTCCGGAACCCACACGGGGGACATCACTTGTGAAGCCTCCATCTCCATCATCCCAGCAGATCTTGTGAAATTGTTATCACAGTTTAGAAGATGTCTGCCTTCCATGCTTCAATCTATCGAAGAATTGGGGGAAGGGGGGCGGGGTGGGTATATTGTTTTTAGAATTACCAAGATATCACATGGGGAATTGCTTGGTAGAGTTCAGGCTTTACAATATTATGCAAACAGATGAAACAATTAACAATCCGCTGTAAATCTTCAATGGTAATAAAGCTATTCAAGATTTGAAATTTGTCCATATGATGTACCCTCTTCGAAAGTATACCTTGTGTTGCTGTACCGTACAATGCATACATTAAAAGAGATGAACATAGAGCACAAAGTAGACCAAGAATAAGATGGAACGATAACATCAGAGAAACTCTACAACAGCACAGTGTGTCTATGGTCAAGGCAGCCAGAAGAGCAGGAAGCAAAACCTTATATTTTCCTCGGCACCCAAAGCAATAAGGACGAAGTGAAGAAGAAGAAGCAAAAGATTTGACGTGGCAGAATATAAATACTGCATAAATCTTAAGTAGGAAAGATTTGCTAATATGTTAATTTACAAGAGCAATATTTTCTTTCTTTTTCAGATTGCAATTTTGCGGAAGACACGACATGAGAATCTAGTATTATTTATGGGTGCTTGTATGACGCCACCTAGATTAGCTATTGTTACAAGGTAGCTATTAAAAACACATATCATCATCATGAATTAAGTATAGTTTCAAGATTAGCTATAGTTACAAGATAGCTACAGATAATACCATCCTCTTCATGAACATCTTGAATTAACCGTAATACAAGATTAGCTATTGTTGAAGGTAGTTACAGAAAATACAGTTGTAATCATAAAATTATGTAATTAACAGTTAATTGTCATCATTATTATCATCTTCATGAATTAGCTTTAGTTACAGGATTAGATATAGTAACAAGATAGGTACAGATAATGCCATCTTCATTACCATCATCAGTTAACTTTCATGATCATCATCAGTTAACTTTAGTTACAAGATTAGCTTTAGTAACCTGGTATGTACAGGTAATTCCATCATCATCAGTTAACTTTAGTTACAAGATTAGCTTTAGTAACCTGGTATGTACAGGTAATTCCATTATCTTCAGGTAGCTCTATACAAATTTTATGAAAGTGTCTTAAAAGCAGTGAATTCGCAAAGTTAAGAATAGCCAGCAACACTTCAGAGGTCCCATGTATTTAGCTTATTTTGGATGTTTGCTCCAGATTATGCAGGTGTGTTGGAAATGAACAGGCAGACAGATTGGTTTCAGTCCTAGTCTTCTTTTAATGTCTTCATTTTTAAATTGTCTCCCTTCTTGTTACTCGTGCAGCTCTTCTGAGACATCGCCTTATTATTAATTGTAGTTAACCCTACCAGACCTGAGGCCCTGAACCTAACTGCCCCCTATACCTGAGCTTCTGGGCATTAACCTGAAAAAACCAACATGATATACAAAAATATTAGTTACATGCAAACAAGTGGCTAGAATAAGATGAAACTTGGAGACCTAGTAGAAAATAGGTTTACCTTTTATCTAGCGCCAATATTCCACCTTTGTATGCCAATCCACCTAGCAGGATCAACCTTGTTTCACAGTGAGCACCAGATGTTGCTGTTTGAGGGACACTCTCCCTTCTCCTAATATTGATCTATTTTTAGATTGATAATTTTCAAGATTCTCCTCATCATTCGAGCTCTCACTGACTGTGTCACTTCAACTGGGAATGTATTCTTCAGGAAGTTATGACTGAATCAACCAAAGTATCGATCACCTGTTGGACTGTGAAAAGCCTAGACCTACTACTTATATTTCTCGTTGAAGTGCTTGGGTAATCAGCCGCTCATTTCATTATGAATTTTCAAAAATTTTTCACGTCAAACCACATAAAGTAAATCCAAACACACCTAGGCAGCCAGTCACAGTGACCAACCACGTGTTTTGATCACGGTTGGTTGGTTATTTTTAGTTTGTGATGCGTTTTATCACGTAGTACGCAAATTCCAGAAACATCGGGACAGCGGTAAAGTGGTAGAGTTAAGGTCCATATTTGCATAGAGTTGGCAGGAAAATAGTTTGTATTCGATTTGCTTTGGTGGACAAAATAATCTATACTTCTGTATGTCAAAAGTTATATTAGTTGCCCCTCGGTACCTGATTTGCTATATTTCCTAATGCCCGTGTTTAATTACCTTTTGTGTATTTTATTTATTCTCATGTAGTTTCTGTAAAGGACAGACACTGTATACTTTGATACACCTCAACAAGACCTCATTCAAGATAAATAAGGCCATTGTTATAGCATCGCAGGTGGCTCAGGTTAGTGGTTCTCTTACATCATCTCCAAATACAGCCTTTTTCTTTAAAAAACCTGTTTATGACAACATCAATTATAGGATGTCATCAGCTGCTTGGGATTAATTAGCTGGAAAGTGGCTAGAATCCTAGCTTTTTTGTGGGAGGTACAAGTTTCAATTCTTGGTAAGGTGAAGGAATTTGTTTCTGGGGGGGGGGGGGGGTGTAAACATCCTAACTTGCACATTTTGCAGTGACCTCACTAACCATATGACCCTGAATCTTTACTAAGAGATCCCTTCCCTACCCACGTTGTTACACATCACCCTGAGTTGAGTTTTGTCTTCTTCGTGTTCACCAGCTGTAAACTCCAGCGGAAAAGTTCTGATTGTCATCCACTTCTTAACCTAGGTAGTGTTTCAGAATCTGAGTGTTGCGTGCACAACCATTTAACAGATCAGGCTTTTTTGTATGCAGACTCTTGGTTATTTGCCTGTCAGGCAGATGCACTCCGATTTCGAAGGATGCTTCCAGTTAGCCGACTCCTGTGACAAGGTTGTTGGGGAGACAGTGGGTCTGTTCTTGTTTTCCCCACAAGGGGACCCTGGAGCCCACACTGGGAGAGTTGAGTTTCAAGAACTGACATCTGACATGACAGGCACTCTGGACATTCCAATAAGTGGTCTGTCCCCATCTTCAGCAGCCAGCAAAGAGTTATGTCACCCCAGTAATGACAGTTATGTTGTTTTATATACTGTCCATGTTGGCCGTAATGGTTAGTTTACTTGACTGCCAGTTTGGCTCAATCCCAAACAGGGGCAGGAATATTTTTTAACCACCCAGAATGGATCAGATGTTAATTCAGTCTCGTAGAAATGGCTACCAAAGAATTATCGAAATTTGCCAGAAGTGTTAACCACTGACTGTAGTTTTGTTATAGTATTGACTGTTTTGTTACTCAATTCCTCTTCTTCTTTGCTTCTTCTTTCACAGCTTCAGAATTTGTGGAAGATATGAGGTTCTGTTTTTGTTGCTCTTCAGGCAGCCACCATGGTTTAGCGGCTTGATGCGCATGAAGGTCATGGGTTCAAGTCAAAATGGAGTTGGACTTTTCAAACTAAAAAAACAAAAGACCTTTATTTCCAGGTCGATCCAGCCTTAAATGGGCACTAGGTAAAGTCCTAGGAAGTAAAGGCGGCTGGCGTGATGTTTACCACATCACCCACCTAGTGCTGATTGGTCTTATATAATGTAGATCTAACCCTGTTTTGCCCAATATACCTGAAGACGTGGAAAAGCATCCTTTACTTAACTGTATGCCCAATACGCCTAAAAGCGGGAAAAGGATAATTTACCTTTTGCTCTTCTGGCCGCCTCGACCATGGACACATCATGCTGTTGTAGAGTTTCTCTGATGTTATCTTTCCATATTGCCTCTGCTCTGCGTCCTTCTTCATTTACTTCTTCTTCTGCCTTTCTAACCCTCAATGGAGCATACGCCCTCAACCAACTCATGCCAGGTCGTTCTGTCCTTTGCTATCCCATGTAGCTCTCCCCATCTTTGTAATTTCACTCTCTAGCTCCTGTCTCCATGTGTTTTTTAGCCCTCCTTTATTTCTATGCCCCTGTGGGTTCTATTTGCAAAGACATTCTAGTTATATTGTTGTCAGGTTTTCAGTGTGTGCCCTATTCAACGCCAGCGTCTTTTCTCACCTCTTGGTCCACTGGAACTTTGTTTTCTTCCCAGGCTCTACATTTAATTCCCTGTGTTTTGTGCAGGCATTAGTTGTTCTTGGTGAATGTAGTTTATTTGTAGTTGCCTTAGTTGTTCTCCATGTTTCCACTGCATACAACAGTAAAATTTGACATTTGAATTAACATTTGTTAGTTTAGTATTAATTTTAATTTTTTTTTGACCTCCACAATTTCCTTACTGCTATGAAAGCTCCTCTTGCCTTTTGTATTCATGTTATAATATCTTTATCGGTTCCCTTATCTTTATCTACATTAGTGCACACAAAGGTGTTACTTCCTTTACTAAATTATTGTCACATTTTTACTACTTCTACTGACTGTATTATTCTTCACCAGGGCATGAGTTACCTGCACGCAAGGGGCATCATCCATAAAGACCTGAGGACAAAGAACATTTTCATGGACAGCGGAAAGGTGGTCATCACCGACTTTGGTCTTTTCCACGTTACCAAGTTATGTAGGGGCAACAAGTAAGTCATGGGTCAGTCCTGGTTTTTGTTAGGCTCTAATACAGAAGCTAAACAGCATAAAGAACTTACGGCATGGCACCTTCAAGCAGGTTAAAGAAAACATTTTGAGATCATATGTCTTTCTCATGGCAACTTGTGGATGTGAGTCATGGACTCTCGCGCAGTCTTTGAAAAAGAGAATCCAAGCTTTTAAATTTATATGCTACAGAAACGTTCTTTGAATACCTTGGACCAAGATGAGGACAACTATGGACATCCTGACGGGAACATCAAGGAGAACTTGCTTGTAAACAACATCCTCTCCCAAAAGCTGAGGGTTTTGGACTTGTTAAGTTGCCATGTAGGGCAGGAGAGAATGGTGATAAGGAAATGCAGTTTCCAGAAAACAAGGCATAGGCTGACCACCACGAAGGTGGATGTATAACATTGAAGATGCGTTGGCTATGAAAGCACACAGGGCTGAAGAATTGGCTAGAGAATGAGAGACTTTCAGTCGTGCTGTGACGAAAGCGATGTTCTGTAAAGGGCATGCTGATTGATTGATTCCAAAATTAGAAGATACATAAATGGCAATCTACGACTGAGAAGTTCAATAAAAGACGGAGACATTGGAGAGTTTTACTTAAGAACTGACGTCCTTGAAGCATTCCCATAAGCACTTCATCCCGATCTTCAGCAGCCAGCGAAGAGTTCCAATTCTGATGGTAAAAGTAACAGTTCATCGTTTGTTGTTTTGGTTTCCCTCTAAGTGTTGAGAGTTGGCCAGATCCCCTAATCACACCTCGTTATACTATTCTTTTCAGTCTGAAAGAGTGTACCACCAAGACAATAGACCAAGAAAATCCATTGCAGCCAACCTTCACTGAATTAAGGATCAACATCATAGCACGCAGGACACTCCCATAAGCGCTCCATTCCCATCTTCAGTAGCAAACAAAGAGTTCCAATTCCGATGGCACCAGTAACTGTCTGATTGTATATCCATCTCACCTTTCCCTTGAGTGTTAAGCATCAGCCAGATCCCCTGGTAACTCCTCTCCTCGCAGCGCTGTTCTCCTCAGACAGTAATGATCTATTTGCGCTTCCTCATCGTTCCCACCTTCACTGAGGAGATGGCACCTGATTGATTGATTGATGAGCACACCTGATTGATTGATTGATGAGCACAATACTGTTCAGAAAATAATGGCAAACAACTAAACATAATGTTAAAATAGCAATGGTGAGTGTGACTAGCAAGACCTGCCCAAGTTAAGAAAAGTGTTCAGGATTTCAGGACCGTTCTTATCAACATTTGTGTTTAGTCTGTTTCTTCTCACTCAGCTCTCATCCTTTCTGCAATCATTTCTTTTTTCATTCTCATTCACTTCCTGATGTGCTTCCTCCACAAAAACATAAAAGTATGTAGTAAAACTGCAAGCAGCCAACAAATGCTAAGGTGGGCTTTGTGAATTGTGATGGCCACAGTGATCCTGAAATCCCATGCTCCAATTGTGGAAGACTTTTCTTGTCATGACCGACACTCGCAAGCCAAACCTGCTAATGCTGTAGGCTCTAAATCCCATTCTTCCCTATAAAAATAGTCAAGTAACAAGTAAAGTACCTTTTTCCCCACACACTCAGGCATATTGGTTATATACGACTAGACCTATAGTTTTGAATCAACAGACGAGTGCCTAGCTGCTACACCATACCGGCTCCCATATATCCCTGTAGCACAATGTAATACCATTATTTGGAAAAACAGAACTCATAGATGTTTTGATGAAGTCCTGAAATTATATGCAACTAATGTCTTCTTCTTCTTCTTGTTCTGACAGCAAAGATAACTGGCTGTGTGTACCAAAGGGCTGGTTGTGTTACCTGGCACCGGAGATCATCCGGTCTCTTAAAGCTATGCAGCAGTTGCAGTCTGATTTGCCTTTCACAAAAATGTCAGACATGTACGCTTTTGGGTAAGTGGCACTAGGTATTTCATCTCTTGCTGTTGCTAGGTTGACCTGCTGGTTGGTTAGTTGTGTAACTTGGTCATCATCATGCCTCTTAAAGCTATGCAGCGATCCGGGTCTGATTTACCTTGACTGAAATGTCCGTCGTGTATTCCTTTGGGTAAGTACCACTTAATGGCTTTAATCTTTTGCTGTTGGTTTTTTGGGGAATCTTCTGGAAGATTGGATCTTCAGTCCCACGTTCAACCAGGTTAAGAGACAGAGAGTGTTGGAGATCCATTCAAGCCATTAGTTAACCTTGGGAATGCTGTGAAAAAAAAAAAAAAGGCACACCTATGGGAATTCCTGAAAAAAATTCTTTAAAAAAAAACAAAAAAACATTTGTAACAAATAAACCCTTCCTATATGCTATTTTTTTGTAAATATGTTCATATCGTGACATCCTAAATGCTACACAGGGATGAATTGATCCAATAGCATTACTGTGTGTTGTAAACACACCACTCTTGGAAACTGTTATATGGTGAATTGGGCTCAACTGGAAAGTTGGTTTTGCAGCTTCTGAGGGTGACAGGGTTAGGCCAGTCATTTTTGTGGAGATTAACGGTTAAAGTTGATGTCAAGGATTAGGAAAAAAAATTCAACCAGAAATAGGCGAAGAGCAATATGGGTTTGCAGAAGGCAAAAGTAAAACGGATGCTGTATATGTCTTAAGTAAAGTAAAGTTAATAAAGATATCTCTTCTTTATTGATTAAACAAAGGCTTTTGATAGAGTAAGACACCTCGACATGATAAATATGCTTATAAATCTACAAATTGATGGCAAAGATCTTAAACTGGTTAAGAATGTATACTGGAAATGACATTCTGCTATAAGAATGGATGGGAAAGATCTTAAACTTGTTAAGAACGTATACTGGAAATGATATTCTGCTATAAGAATTGATGGGAAAGATCTTAAACTGGTTAAGAACGTATACTGGAAATGACATTCTGCTTTAAGAATTGATGATAAAGATTTTAAACTGGTTAAGAACGTATACTGGAAATGACATTCTGCTATAAGAATTGATGGGAAAGATCTTAAACTGGTTAAGAGCATATACTGGAAATGACATTCTGCTATAAGAATTGATGGGAAAGATCTTAAACTGGTTAAGAACGTATACTGGAAATGACATTCTGCTATAAGAATTGATGGGAAAGATCTTAAACTGGTTAAGAACGTATACTGGAAATGACATTCTGCTATAAGAATTGATGGGAAAGATCTTAAACTGGTTAAGTACATATACTGGAAATGACATTCTGCTATAAGAATTGATGATAAAGATCTTAAACTGGTTAAGAACGTATACTGGAAATGACATTCTACTATAAGAATTGATGGGAAAGATCTTAAACTGGTTAAGAACGTATACTGGAAATGACATTCTGCTATAAGAATTGATGGGAAAGATCTTAAACTGGTTAAGAACGTATACTAGAAATGACATTCTGCTATAAGAATTGATGGGAAAGATCTTAAACTGGTTAAGTACATATACTGGAAATGACATTCTGCTATAAGAATTGATGATAAAGATCTTAAACTGGTTAAGAACGTATACTGGAAATGACATTCTACTATAAGAATTGATGGGAAAGATCTTAAACTGGTTAAGAACGTATACTGGAAGTATATTCTGCTATAAGAATTGATGGGAAAGATCTTAAACTGGTTAAGAGCATATACTGGAAATGACATTCTGCTATAAGAATTGATGGGAAAGATCTTAAACTGGTTAAGAACGTATGCTGGAAATGACATTCTGCTATAAGAATTGATAAGAATCTGTGTTGCTGTATATAAACGAGACATGGGCAGTAAACAGACAAGCTGAAAAACATTTACTCATTGCAGATACGAGGTTTTGTAGAAGAATGCAAAGAATACCATGGAGGGATAGAAAAACAAGCGAAGCAGTTCTGATCATAACAGACAAAAGGCGTAAACTCAAAACAGACGTAGACAGACAGTGTTTGTGTGTGTGAACATGTTAAGAGAAGATATGGATTTGAGAAATGGATAACAACTGGCAAAATTGATGGAAAGATAGTGAGACGAAAGCAAAATACCTGGATGACTTGGCCACACGGATGAGGTGAGACAAAACTTTGACCTGATCCACGAATTTGGTGATCATGTGAGATGGTGAATCTGCAAATCTGTGCTTACTGACAGAACACTTAACATGATGATGATAATGATGAAAGTGCAAACATTATTAATTTTTTTTATGTAAAGCTGTAACTTGTTCATATTTTTTGCTGGAGATCTATTTACGCCGACCATTTATGTGGAGATGGCACCCAAGTGATTCTTTTTCCCCCATACGGGTTCCAGGGACCAATTATGGGGTAAAAAGATAGACCTGCCCCCTTTAACAAGCATACCGTAAAAGTTGACTAATTATGGGTGTTTCCTTTGAATTCAATGTACTTCCCTGAGAGGTGAGGAGCTAACCGTCACCAGACCTCTGTAACATGGGTGTTAATGCAAAACTTCGGTTCTGGAACAAGATCAAATTCCAGAAGTGGACGAACAACCATAACTTGCTGCAGAGTTTACTGCCACTGAATAAGAAGCTGATTTATTCTTTGTCATGTTAATGTAAAGTGCTAACTGGAAATTCTCTCTTATTTTATAACGTATCATATTTTGCCTCTTCTGCAGCACTGTTTGGTATGAACTGCTATGCAATGATTGGCCGTTTCGCAGTCAGCCTTGTGAGACTATCATTTGGCAAGTGGGTCAAGGTATTAAGCAGTCATTGAGCACTGTTAACTCTCCTAGAGAAGTTAAGGTATGTCGATCTTGATAATCTGTTTAAATCACCATTGATAACTGGCATTATGAAAGCTAATAGACTAATATGGTTGGAGCATATTGAGAGAATGTCAGATGACAGAGAAGGGAAAACTGTTTACACAAGGAAGATGAATGGTCGTAGACCATGAGGCAGACCAAGAAGTTGATGGAGAGATAATGTTCAGACAGACCGGCAAACATTTGGAAAGAGAAGGCCAACCAGAGAGATGAGTGGAGACGGGTGATATCTGCAGCCACGAACCTCAAGGGCTCTGTATGCTGAAGAAGAAGAAGAAGAGCTTGATCTTCAAGCTTCTTTCAGATTCGTCGTTGTTGTTGTTGGCACTTGTTCATCTTTCCAGACAGTTGATTGATCAGTTCATTTGTCTCTTCTTGGCTGCTGCCTGAAGGTTTACTGTACTGTACTGAGATTAAGAAATCTCAATCTGGACGACAAACCATATCCAAAGCGATTTACTTGACTGGCATGGGCAGAGAATACTAGCCCACTGAGTCAACACTGCACTCAAAGTCTGTATGGAACTAAAGGGGAACTCCTAAAAACAGTCAAATTAATCACAAGAACTTGTCTGTCGGTTTAAATCACAAAGTGAACACAAGAAGAAGGCGGCAGACCTACAGGGTAGATCCCAGATACCCTGTTCAGCCTTCAAAGACGTTGTAATTAGGGCACGATTATTAACTACACATGTTAGGCTCTTTAAAAAAGCACTGATTTGGGGGCAAATGATTAGATATCAGACTAACTCCTGTCTGCGACGCCTTATGGCTCAAGCAGAAGAACAAAAGATGAAGATTAGATGTCTGATTACATTACGCGGAAGATCGGTCACAGAAATATAGAACAGCTTAGGCCATGTGATAAAACTGCATTTTATTTTTCTTTTGCCTTCAATCCCCCAATGAAGCATAGGCCTTCAACCAACTCATGCCAGGTTGTTCTGTCCTTCACTATTGCATACAGCTCGCCTCATGTCCTCACCATCTTTTTTTAAATGTCTATCGACATCCTTTGTCATGTCATGAGAAGGTGAAACTTAAGTACATCGTGATGGTGGGAAAGTTGGAGGGAAAAAGAGGAAGACCAAGAGAGACTTGGTCCGTTTTACATCATGGTATGGAGGTTCATCTAACAGAATTGATAAAAAGTACACGAGACAGAAGGTTGTGGATAGAGATGACTACCAACACCACACAATATGGCTATAAGAAGGGGGGGGGGGGGGGTCGTCTTGACTGTGCAGGTTAGGGTTTTTTTTTTGCCATCAAAAGAAGAAGAAAATCCATCACCTCAACATGGATTTTAACTTGGGTATGCTGCATAAGAGCCCAGCGTCCTTAACTGCCTAACCAGCAGCTCCTGTTGTAAAGATAACCCTTCTCCCAATGGTGGTGATGCACCCAGCTAATGTACTTGCCGTGTTGTGTGTTGAGCTCAGAACTAACATCGCAGCACTTAGGACATTGCCATAGACCCTCTATACTCATCTGCAGCAGCTATTGAAGAGAACCTTCTTCTTCTTTCCTTCTTCTTCTTTCCTTTTTCTTCAATCCTTCTGTCAGAAAACTAATATCAGGAGGCCGGTAGCTTTTATGAAAGTTATCGTACAGTCCAAACAGCTTTGTCTTCACTGTGGTAGGAACAGGCCAGATTGCGTCTCTGTTGTCAGCATACAGTTGACAGTGTTGAAGCACATGCTCAGCATTTTCGGGTGCCACACTGCAGGGACACGTCTCTGTGTTTCCTACACCGACAAATTTGAACATATATTGACGAAATTTGTTGTGCCCAGTCCTTAGTCTGAATATATTACACTGTTCCTCTCTAGAGAGACGATGAAGCGAGTCTTGGGAAGAGAATCTGGTGTGTTTATCCAGCCACTTTTCTTGAATACTAGATTGTATTAATGTTTTCATCTCTTGGCCAATTCTGGTAGCAGTTTGATTATATGTCCGTCTTGCCGCTTCTCTGCAATTTATAGGATTAGAATTACAGGCAGGCAGCCTTCAAGGAAACTTCCATCACTAACCATTGTTTGTGTGTGTCTTCCTCGCAGGAGATTCTCATATCATGTTGGTCATTTCGTGCCAGTGAGCGTCCAGACTTCTCACAGATTGCCAAGGCTCTAGACCGTGTCCCACGTACACGTTTGATTCGGAGCCCCTCTCACCCTTGCCAGCTGAGCCGGAGTTCAGATGCACTGTCATTGGTTTGACCTCCAAAAACATTTGGCAGATATAGTTCCCAGTTGAAGATTTGCACTTAAATTTCAGTCTGGCAGATGGATGTCAGATATGTTTTAGCCACCTGTCAACTAGCGGAATTCATCTCAAATTACAAGTTTTTTTTTTTTTTACTTATGAAATTATTAGTTAGCCGGAGTTCAGATATGTTATCTCTGGTTTGACCTCCAAAAAAATTTTAATGTTATAATTTCTAGTTGAAGACTTGCTTTCAAATTTCAGTCTTGGCAAGTCAGTTTCTGTCACTTGACAACTAGCAGAATTTATCTCGGAACTACAGGTGTTTTTTTTTTCTTCTTTTTTTTTCCGGCTAATGAAATTCTTGGCTACTGGTCTTGATTTTAAAAGCACTTGTTGGTTGAGCCATATTTATTTTGTAAAAGCAAATATTGTGTTGAATGAGAACATGTTGGGTAATAAAGAGGAGCAGGACAAAGGGTTGAACTGCACCTTGTGGCAAAGGATGGGCACAAGTTGGTTTAGGGCTTATGCTCTATTAGAGGATAAGGGCAGAAGTAGAACAATAAAGTAGAACAATATTCAGATATAGGCTAAATCTTGTATCCTGCAGACCAAATCCTGTAAGATGTAGACTAAATCCTGTAAGATGTAGACCAAATCCTTCAGCTAGGCTATTAATAACATAATTTCATGTAGTCATTAGAGGAAGCTTTAGGGCGATCAGAGTGAAAAGAAGCCTATATAAATAACTTATTAGTTTTTGGCATTCATAGATTATAAAGATAATACTGTGATATTAAAGAATGGATCAAATGGTTTGGCCATGTAAAAATATTGGCATCATACAGAGCACTACAGAGAGCCAGAGATCTCAACCACGCAGAAGTTGGACCACAGAAATATCAGAGACACTGCAAAGTACTGTATACGAAGCGAACAAAAGGGCCCGTTCCAGAAATCTATTCCTCCCCTGATGTGGCGAGACATTCCAGGAATAGAGAAGAGAAGAAGAAGACCAGGGGACACACTAGACAACAAGAAAGTGATTAAAAAAAATTTTTTTTTTCTACATCACATTGTGAAACCCAGGATCACACTAGACAACAAGAACGTGATTAAAAAAATTTTTTTTTTCTACATCACATTGTGGAACCCAGGTTCTTCACAAAATGATGTCAGAATGTGTGGAGTTTAATCTTGCTCATTCCTAGTTGATGTTCAAAAAGCATTTTAAAGATGTGTTGCTGACTCGGAGCATAATTTCCTCACTAAGCAAGATGATGGTACCATTATCAGCTGTTGGATTTAAATCTGGTCCGTCTGTAGTTGTCATTTTTTATTTTATTTTGTTTCATCTCCTTTCCAACCCCTGCCCCTCAGACCTCACTGTATTGTGCAAAAACTTGAACAGTAAATGAGAAGCAGAAAGTATAACTGAATCTCTGGAGATGTAGATATACGGAAAAATATGCCATATTTCATGGAAACATCATCGATCAAATACAGAGTTTCTTAAGGCCAAAGCATGCTACCTGTTTTAGGGCCTAGGTCTGTCAGACTCACTGTACATTTATATTTTAATCTTGGCATTAAAGTCATATAGCCTTGGAGGTCTCTGAAAGTAATGACTGGCTTTAAAATTTATTTTTTTTTAAATATTAATTTTTGAAGAAATCTGGAAATAACTTTATCTTTTGGTTTTCAGAAACTTCACATTCACTGTGCAGTCTACTACTTTTCCTTCATTCATTCTGTTTCCTAATTGAGATCAGTTTCAGATTGCAGTTTTTTTCTTATGCTAGAATAGTTAAACAATTATTCATGTGACAGCAGTCTTACCAAATATAACAATTGCCAGGTTTTTCTTCAGTGCAATTCCAAACATATGAGAACATCATACCAAACAAAAATACTAGTATTTATAATACAATATTTATAAACTGGTGCCTGCACAGAATAAAGGAGACTAAACGGTATGTCAGAATCACTTCTGTGAAGCTTGGTAGAGAACTAAACATGTTCCCAGTGAATCAAGAGGTGACAAAATAAAGTTGGCAACATCATCATCATCCAGTGCCTTGCCAGCTGGCTTAGGCGTTCATGCATCTCCACAGATCTTTGGTCTTTGGTGTTCTGGATCACTTCTACTGATGATATTCCTCCATGCCACTGTCATAAGCCATCCACCATCATTTCTCTTGGTCTGCCTCTGCCTCTTCTACCAGTGATCTTTCCTGTTGTCACAATATTTTCCACTGCTCCTTTTCTCAATACATGTCCAAAGAATTGTGTCTCCTTCTCATTGTTGTATATAATGTTCTATTTTCTTTTATCCATTTTTAAGCAACCATTATTAGTTATTCTGGCAGTCCAAGGTATTCACAACTTTCTTCTCAAGAACCACATCTTAGTTGCCTCCAAATTCTGGATAGGCAACACTTGGAGAAAATCTGATAATAGAATAACTGTACATATTTGCATTGGAACCTACAATGCCAAAGAATAGAGGGAGACAACATAAAACACACTGAGAAAAGATAAATGTATATAGATAATGTAAATTATGTAGATAAAAAGAAGAACTGGAAACACATAAGAAAGATGGGGATATGAGCCAGGTGGCTTGTGATAGTAAATAATAGAACAGCCTGGCACAAGTTAGTCAAGGGCTAATGCTCCATTTAGTAATATATGGCAAAGAATGTTTTAATTGGCATTTTTTTTTTCTGCCATAAAATGAATGTAAATATATTTTACTGTCCCCCTCAATGGTTTTATATTCAGCCATTTGCCGGTTGTAATACTAAATGGTAACTAGGCCATTTTAGTTTATTCCATTTATTTCTGTATCTTTTTTCTTCCATTTTAAAATCTTTTTCTTCAGCATTGCAAGCCCCTCAAGGTTTATAGCTGTAGCTTTTCACTCATCTCTCTCGTTGGCCTTCTCTTTCCAGTTGTTGACACCAAGTGTTTGCAGGTCGGCTGAGATTTCTGTTTCGTGACGAAATGAAGTTTTACGAAGGTGGGGGTGTCGGCCTCACAGTTCAACCCCCAACCTGGAGGACCAGGATGTCTCTCTTTGTCTGTTCTCTACCCTTTGACCTTTCCAGCTTGGGAGGCCCTACTGGTAGCTACGCTACTGTCATCATAGCTCTCAGGGTCTTTGAGAAACAACCCCCCCCCCCCTTCACGGCGGCAAGGCATTTTGTAAATGTCTATTTTTAATATCCATCTGATTTCTTTCATGTCGGTAGTTTCAGAAAGAGAATTATAGTTATGGCTACACACAGAAGCAACTTCAAAGTTATGATAAATGAAGAGATTCCAGCAAATGCTAAGAAACGGACAAAAATAGATGAAAGTTGTTATTGCTATCTATGACTAGTTTCACTTAGTGAGTTCTTCTTCTTCACTTCCTCTTTTACCGCTGTGGGTGTCGAGGGAGATATAAGGTTCTGTTTCTAGCTCTTCTGGCCACCTTGACCATAGGCACATCGTGCTGTTGTAGAGTTTCTCTGATGTTATCTTTCCATCTTGTTCTTGGTCTACTTCGTGCTCTACGTCCTTCTTCTCTTTCCATGTATGCTTTGTATGGTATGGTGTCACAAGGCATTCTCTCTAAGTGGGCAAACCATTTCACTTGCTGTCTTTGTATGTAATCCAGAATTGATTCTGTGCCGACTTGTTCTCTTATGATCTCATTCCTGATCTTATCTCTTATGGTCACTCCTACAGCCCTTCTCAGACATCTCATTTCCGTGGTTACTAATTTTCTTTTATGGTTTGTTGTGAGTGACCATATCTGACACTGGTAGCACAGAGTTGGAATAAATATGCTTTGAATAAGATGTCTCTTTGTGCTGATTGGGATTGTCTTATGCTGTAAGAGGGGGGCTAGCTGTCCCAATACTTTGTTTGCTTTACTGCATCTAATGTCAATTTCTTTATCCAATTTCCCATCTTCGGTAAATGTAGTTCCCAGATATTTAAACTCAGATGCCTGTTTAATGTCTTTGTATTCTATTGCTATGTTTAGATCTGTCTTCTTTTTTCCTATTGACATTACTTCTGTCTTTTCAGTGTTGATTCTCATATTATTTGTTTTACATCTTGATTCTTAGTGAGTAGAGAGTCAATATCATATTGTTCGGTACATTGCCATAAATGCGCTGTCCCAATCTTTAACAGCCGTTGCAGAGTTTCTATTTTGATAGTGACGGTAGCAGTGTGATTGTTTGTCCATCTTGCCTTTCCTCTGAGTGTTGTTGAGTGTTGGCTGCATCTCCTAGTCACTCCCCGCTGCATCGTTGTCTTCAGACATGATCTGTTTATACTTCCACATTGCTTGCTTGCTTCCAAAGGGCCTTAACCACATCTAACTTGTCATGCATCAATTGTCCACTATGTGGCACAGAACAGTGTTTCTGTTATGATCAGTGTAAATTAGTTTCTTTACATGGGGTTATCTTACATGATGGGGTGTTTCCCGGTGACTTTCTGACATTCCAAAAGCTGCCTAGATTGAATTCGACCACGTTTATTTCTTTGCATTTTCACTTTCTGATCTCTCACAGAGCAGTTCTTACATCACGTCTAGTCCTGAAAGAATGGTAGGGGGCAGCACTTGTGCATTCAGCATCATCATTATGTGCCATGGTACTAATAAGCAATTGCAGTCATGGTTTTTTTGAACTGAAATGCTGCAGAAAAATTCTTAGAGTACCATGAACTAAGAACAACACAAACATCTTATATTATCTGAGCATCGAGGAGAATTGGCTCATAAATGGAATCCTCTCCCATAAACGGGATCCTGTCCCATAAACGGCATCCAGTCCCATATACGGCATACTGTCCCATAAACAGCATCCTCTCCCATAAACAGGATGTTGTTTTAAAAGCTGGGATATTTTCGTGAGGTAATGTGTCATGGTGGCCTGAAAAGAACGGTGGAGGAAACTGTTTCTGGAGAGCAAGGCAGAAGCAGACCACTATGAAGGTGGATACAAGA